ATGCAGATTATATGTCTTTTATCTTTATCAACAATAGGTCTATAGTAGATCACTTCAGATTATTTACTGATATATAAGGATGTAACGCAACTTAGTTGATAAGTGTGTGTTTAAAATATAAAATGTGATTATTATAAAATTACTTTCTGACACATTATTTTTATTCTTTTTTCTATGTATATAATCATATTCTGAGCGAAATGATTATTGAGACACTAAAGAACAGTAAAATTAAAGTTTTTTGCCGACAAAGCGAATCGGAAGTTGTGCAATATACGTACAGCATCATGGGTTTTGAAGTCCTCAAGATGCCGGAACGTAAGTGACGTTACGCAACATAGAAAAAACGTCAGAGGAAACTTTTGCTGATTGGTTAATTGGACAACAGGCGGGCTTTTTGAACAAAGAAAAACCGGAACAAGCAGAGCACACCCACAGCCAACTGAGGAAGCTAATTGAAGCGAAACGCGTCTTGGCAGAGGAGATACAGACCACTATTAAGAGTATTTATAGTGTTTTACATATATATTTTTTTATTTTCTTGTTATTTGTGTTTTTTACTGGTATTTTAATTATATTGAGGAATAAATTTAAGATATATTGATTACTATATCCTGCACTTTTTCCGGTAAGGGGAGGTGTCACCCCAATTTGACACTAAGCCTGCAAACTTAGAGCCTGTGATAAAAAGGCTCTAGAAAAGGTGAGCACCCATTTCTTAACATTTATATAATATCCAAAGAGGATTTCTTTGAAATACTACACCTAGAGTCTTCTCTCTCTCTTTTTTCCTATATATATTGTGGAGAGGAATATATACAAGAATTTAAAGAGAAAAAAAAAAAAAGGCGTTAAGCTGTCTACCTTAAAGACACGGAAGCCTGGAAGTTTAGAGCCTAAAATCTTAAAAGGCTCTGAAAAATGTGAGTAAATTTAACTTACACACGACTAAAAATTCTGTCTTCAGTGTGTATACAATATTTCATGTTTATTCTGTATACCCTTTTTTGTCTTTCATGTACACCCCCTAACAAGTTTACAGAGAGGGGTGAGTTGCATATATATGTATACAAGCACATTATCCTGTATAGATCTATATAGCGCTGCACTCTAACTAGAGGCGTGGAAGGTGGAAACACCAACCAGACCTCAAGTTATCTGTCTTTTGGTGTTTATTGTTTTACGGTGGGGTATTGGGAGTACCCACAGAGTGTTCACAGCGGCTAAAAGTATAAAAACTCTTACTGTGTAATATCTAATAAGCGCCAACCACTACCACACCTACCTGTGTTTACATATTCCCAATAATTTTTTGTCTAGGTGAGGTGTTATTAAATAAAACTATAACAATCTCTAAGATTTGAAGTCATTGTTTAGTGAATAAGTGAGTGCGCTGGATTGTGTATTTTGTATATTTTGGCCACAGCAGCACCCTATAATGTGTGTGTGTGTATGTGTGTGTATATATGTATATGTATCTCTCTCTCTCTCTCTCTCTCTCTATATATATATATATATATATATACATATATATATATATAAAGAAAAATAAATATAGGGCTGCGCCAAGTGGAGAAAGATAGTCCAGTAAAATTATCACTAGGATACCAGTGGATAGTAAGGAATACTTGATAGGGTTCCTTGATAGAGGTAGGTGTGTCTGGTGTTGACGGTTCAGTACATGAAAATAAAAGAGGTAGAGGCGACCAATGGTGCAGTATGTCTAAAATTCAAGGTGCAGTAGATAACAAAAGTAGAGAACTCACATTCGGGAGAGCTATGGCCAGCTCTGGTGTGAATCGCGTACAGCGGTATAATCCCCGCTTATGGGATATGTAGGGAGGGGGTCTCCGTCAACACCTTCTGGTAGTCCAAAACTCGGAAAAGAGATAGAAAGCAACAATAGTGCTCTCAATTGTGATGGGGTTCAATGTGCAATAGGTAAAGAAAGGTAGAGAACTCACATTTGAGGGAGCTATGGCCAGCTCTGGTGTGGATAGCGTACAGCGGTATAATCCCCGTTTATGGGATATGTAGCGGAAGTACGTCCGTCAACACCGTCTGGTAATCCAAAGCTCCAAGAGAGAAAGGTAAAAAACAACAATAGTGCTCTCAATTGTGATGGGAATAAGAGAGTAAAATAGAAGATAAAATAATACTCACAAAGATAGAGCAGAGGTACTGCTCATTAAATAGGCATTGGTGGTATGATCCCCACCTTGGATTTCTTGGAGTACTGGAACAGTAAATTTGCCAATGGAAGTAAAAGTAACCAGGAACGTTTAAAATGTCAGGAATAAGTAAAAAAGTTTAAAGTGCATAGAGAGTGCAATAAGAAGAGGATTGGTACGGTAAAGTAGCCAAAAAACTTTTATTGTTCTGAAATACACAGTAAAATACAAGAGTAAATAACCATAAAAGCGTTTCACCATAAGTGGCTTCTTCAGAATGGAATAAAAATAATAACCTGGCAGGGGATGTTTAAATAGGGCTGTGGTAATTAAGAAATTGCGCCAAAATTGTGATTGGCCAATCAAAAACAGTTTTAGAAATAACAGATAAAAGTACATATTAAAGTGTACAGAATGAGAAGTATATGTAGTGTGAGGACATATAAATTGATTTGGGGTAAAAACGAGGGGTGTACCAGCAAATAAATGATTAACTTGTGTGGGTCACGTGACGCGGATGTCCCGGTCGGCAGTGCATTATGGGAAGTGTAGTAGTATCACGCCCGTCGGCATGGTATAAAGGGGCGTGGTGAGAGAGGTGGGAGTGGCTGATCGCATCATGCGATCGGTCAGGTGCTGTCGGCCATGATGCGGCTGGCGGAATACACTGAGGAGGGAGGGAAAGAGAGCCAACCATGTACTGGGCATGCGTGGTTGGAGGGGAGTGTTTAGATACATAAGTGCCGAACCTCTATGTAGAGGATATCGGCATGCAAGTGACAGGAGGGTGGAGCCACAGGGGGAGGGGGGAGAGTGGTATATAGATAAGGGCAATAGGAAGTAAATGATATAACAATAAGGAAAATACATAAATAAAATACATTAATAGTAGATGGAAATACATAGAAAGGAATATACATAAAAGGGTGGAAGATATATAACAGATCAGTATGGAGCATATTGGTACAAGAGTTGTTGGTACATAATACAATTCCAGACATAGTGGGTAAGGGCAAAAAGTGCATATAAGTAGTAGAATGAGGTCTGCAGTACAATACAAATAGAAATAAGAATAAGACTATATTTAGATAAAATTAAACAGATCAAAATCAAAATTTAAGTTAAAAACCCATTCCATCTCAGCTTTTCCAAGTATATTCTTAATGTTTCCACCTCTCCATGGTATTACACATTTTTTTATGCCAATACATTTAAGGAGTTTTATGTCATTATTATGTGTGCAGAAATGTTTAGAGACTGAGTGATTAAGGTAGTTTTTTTAATATTTCTACAGTGCTCACTCAGTCTAACTTTAAGGTTTCTTGTGGTCATACCTACATACTGGAGACCGCAGGGGCACTCCAGCAGGCAGATGACATTCTTGGTGTCACAACTGATGAAATATTTGATTTTATAGGTCTTGTTCGTAATGTTAGATTTAAAACTAGTGGTTTTGGAGGGGAAGAGGGGTCTGTGTTCTTGCATACATTACATCTTTTACATTTGTAAAAACCGCTGGCATTAGACATAAAAGAGTTAATAACAGGTTTAGTTTCTTTAGTAAAATTGGTGGTCAGAATGGATTTAAAATTGGGGGCACTTCTAAAAACAACATTAGGTTTGTCTGGTATGATATTTTTCAGTATTTCATCTTCTTTTAGAAGGTGCCAGTGTTTTTGAATAACTTTTTTGATATGGCCACTTTTATTGTTAAAATTGAAGGGAGAGGCATAGAGTTAGTAGTAGGTTGGGTTTTGTAACTTAGGATGTCTGCTCTATCTTTTTTGATGATGGTGTTTATGGTGGTGTTGAGACGAGTTGGTGAGTAATTTTTCTCAATTAATTTGTCTTTTAGAAAATTGGCTTGTGTGTTAAAATCTTCTATTTGTGAGCAGTTCCTTCTGAGTCGTAGGAATTGGCTTTGAGGGGCACTTTCTAACCAAGGTTTGTAATGGCAACTCGATCTTTCAATAGCTGTGTTGACACAAACTGTTTTGAAAAATGTTTTGGTGTGGTATCAACGCAATATTTTGAAAAAGGTTTATACGTGGTATCAACGCAATTTTAGACAATACAAGGTGAATAAAGGAAGTTCCAACACAAAATGGCAACAGGACTCGGATGCACCATCTACATCCTCCTCTGCCTCCTCCTCTTTGGAACCACTTTTTTAGGGAACACCCAGGACTACAGAGACCAGTCAGGAGGGGGGGTTACCACAAGAAGCTCACAGGACAGAAGGAGAGCAAGGCTACCAACCAGCAGGCGGAGAAATTAATATACAACTTATCAGGTAGGCCATTAAGCACACAGGAAGAAATAGTACTGAATAAGGGTCTATCATTTGTCCCCACCCCTATACCACAATGGCATGAATATGATGTATCTATATACAAATTTTTGAGACAATTGAAATTAAAAGCGTATTTTTTTACCACAGACATGGAAGGTGGTCCAATCAGCTCCACGTCAATGACGACTATGGAGAACATCCATAGAACTACTTTAGCCTAGACTAACATCCATGGACAGGAGAATACAGTGATACACCAACCGACACCACCAACGTCTGATTTATCACTACCACTCAATACAGGTTTGAAACCAAACAGCACATTCACACCTTACATATTTAATCAGTCTATAGATATATTTTCTAATTTAATTAAAAAAGATATTAAGAAACTGCGAAGAAAACAACAGGGGAAGAGTAGAAATTTTCAATATAAACCCAATTTCACTAAGAAAGAATGGCAGGTACTTAATACACTTAGAGAGGATAATTCGATCATCATCAAACCGGCGGATAAGGGTGGGGCACTGGTCATCATGGATCGGGATTATTATATCAAGGAGATTAGAACACAATTAAATGACACATCAAGTTATCAACCAATGGATGGGAATCCCATCCAACGGTTACAGACAGAGTTACAGACACTAAATAGGGCGGCCATGGACAAAGGCATCATCACAGAGGGAGAATACAAATACATGTTCAAGAAATATCCAACAACGCCTGTCTTTTATACCCTCCCGAAAATACACAAAAATTTACAGACTCCACCAGGAAGGCCCATTGTCAGTGGTACGGACTCCATTTTACAACCACCAGCAGTAATGTTAGATAAATTCTTGATCAAGTGCATTCCAAAACAAAAATCATATATCAAAGACACAAATGATTTAAAAAAATTGATCAACAACCTCAATATTGAACATTCCACGGAAGTCTGGTTGGTGACGTTGGATGTTCAATCATTATATACAGCAATTGACCACAGGGGGATTACGAGCAGTTGAGTGGACATTAGATCAGGACCCTACATTAACCCAATACTTAGATACCAAGACATACATATTGGAACTGTTACGGTTTGTCCTGACTGAGAATTATTTTCTTTTTGAAGACAGTTTTTATAGGCAAATCAAAGGGACAGCAATGGGCTCGAATGTAGCCCCCACTTATGCGAGTATATACATGAATAAGTTGGAGGAACTACACATATATACTATTCCACTGTTTGAGAAATGCCTCACATGGAAGAGGTTTATCGACGATGTGTTTGTATGTTGGGGGGGTACGAGGGTTCAATTGGACAATTTTTTTAACCAATTGAATTCTCTGGACCCTTACATCAAATTTACCATGGCCTGTGATAGACACACGGTTCCATTCCTGGATACTCAGGAACATCTGATTGACAATAAACTGCACACAGACATTTATACGAAACCTACTGATAGAAATAATCTTTTGGAATACACCAGTTACCATCCCCAACACCTTAGGGATGGCTTACCATATAGCCAAATGCTGAGAGTGAAAAGAATAATTTCACAGGAAGATCGTGTAGAACCAGGGATGGAGTACGTGTGCAACAAATTTATTGATAGGGGTTATCCATTAGAACTAGTGACACGACACAGAGCCAGGATTTCAGACATGGACAGGGAAGAAGTGCTTAACCCCATGGGCAGAAATAAGGACACCATACAACGAATTCCGTTTATATCTCCATACACACCTTACAGTAATGCTGTTAAAAAAATCATATTGAAGCATTGGAGCATCTTTGAGGGCGATCTTAACTTGTGAATGAAGTTAGGAATCCTCCACTGTTCTCGTACAAACGGGCACAGAATCTTTGGGACAAATTAGTGCACTCAGACATAGGCAGTAACAAAAAACAGAGAAGATTCTTCTCTGAACCTAAGAAAGGCACATTCCCGTGCCTAAACTGTATACATTGCAACAGTATAATCAGGGGTGATCGTTTTGCCCATCCAAGATCAGGCAAACCCTTTAAAATACTTGAATATTACACATGCAACTCAGAATATGTGGTTTACATTCTGAAATGCCCATGTGGGTTTCTCTATGTTGGGGAAACAATCAGGCCAGTGAAAATGCGCATAGGAGAACATAAGAGGGACATAAGAGCTGCCATTCAGAAAGGGACATGTGACAAACCAGTACCGAGGCATTTCCTACAGCATGGTCATAATGTCAATCAATTACGTTTTCAGGTAATCGATGGTGTTAAACCGTTGCGTAGAGGTGGGGATAGACAAAAACCACTTTTGAGACAAAGTGGATTAGTATTTTGGAAACACTCCACCCGGATGGCTTGAATGAGGACTATGACCTCAAACATTTTTTGTAGGATGACTTAGAATACTACAACACTGTTTAAACCTTCGATCTTTGGTCCATTAATCTGGGCTAATTCATTGCTCTATATCCACAGTTAGTCATTGGGACCCTATATGGCACGCCTGTCTCTTTTACTCCTTAAGAGCTATTAAAGAGGTTGACCATTTCGTGGTCCGTTACCCGAGAAATCACGGGGTCCAACGTGTGGGAAACCACAGGCACTTTTCTCACATTACACTGCTGGTGAGTATGCATTAATAAATTAAAAATATTATATCTGAACGGGTGAACAATCACCGCTGATTATCTGTTGTAATCACATCTTGAGCCTATGTAACTCTTAATTTCTTGGATTCCGTACTGGCATTTTTGAAGGGATGGTCTTTACAATAGTGACAACATTCATCCGAAGGCAAATTTTAAATACATTGTAAATAAATTATGAATATACAATGAGCTTCTAATCACCAGAAGCATGTTTATTCCAACTCATTTTAGATTGACTATGAGCCACATTATGCCAATGACCTTAACTCCCTCTTATTTTGAAAATGATGAGTAGCTTTATCCTTATTTAGCTCAACTGGGTATAAATAACCCCTAAGTATATAAGAGTATATATAAATATATAAGTATATATGAGTATTTACAAATATGATCAGTATCCCTTTATTGGTCAAAAACCCCATTATAGTAATCAATTATTTAAATACTTCATGTTAATATGATTCTCTTTGTTTAAATGTACATTGTTTTTTCCATGCAAACATACATCAGGGAATCTTTCCTCTCCCATACATATGGACTAGAGCAAAGGAATGTATATATGTTTTTTTATATATGTTTTTTATGTAATAGATTGAGTAAGTGTACTGGAACTCATACACATGTGTAGGAATGTGGACATTTACATAATGGACATTTACATAATGGTAATGGCACGCACCTTGGGCATAGTAATCTGATGTGTGCGCCATGACACTAAACAGACGTGACTCGCAGACGCGAACGTCATGGGGTCATTTGGGCGCGACCCGCGCATACAAGCAGGCGCGCCGAACTACATATAAGTATGGGACTTACACTGTCTTTTTCCGACAGGGCCATTGAAGGGATCTATTCACATCCCGAGCGCGCAGCCCGCACAGGAGATCCTGCACTAACCAATAAAAAAAAAAAAAAAGTTAGGGTGATGCCTCTATTGTTAGTGTTGAGGAGCTTCTGTGCCGTCCCAAATAAAAAATAAATTGTCGATATATCTAAAATATGTTACAAGGTTCGTACATCAGGCGTGTCTTCCCCATATGGCCGTGGATTCCCAGTCGGCCATAAAAAGGTTGGCGTAGCTCGGGACGAACCTCGTACCCATCGCAATGCCTTGTTTTTGTAGGTAAAAAGAGTCTGCATATTATCATCTAAGAGCTGGGATCTGCAGAAGCTGCATCAGCGCTCTGGTATGTGGCCGCACAAACGCTGGTGCTCAACACCAGGGGGCATGTGGTTACTCTGCACCAGGCCCTGATAGTCCATTTCCATGCTGTGACTCCTTTCTTTATCATCAGGCATACAGGGGTCCCGGTCTCCGGACCGCCACCCGTGACAGTGCCAAAAAGGGTCTCTCTCGGAGTCTGATATCAATAAGGATGACAAAGGATATCAGTTCCTTGAGATCTTTAGGTAATTATCGGGCTGCAATCTCCTCCTTAATAGCATCAGAGAGCCCATGTGAAAAGACAGCCACCAGAGTTTCATTGTTCCAGCCACCCTCTGCTGCTAGGGTACAGAATTCACTGGCATACTCTACAATCGTCCTTGTGCCCTGTGCATTAGACATTAGTTGTTTGGCAGTAGAGGTGGAGCGAGCTGAAATATCAAATACCCTTTTAAAGGACGCAACAAATTCAGGGTAATTAAAAATAATGGGTCTCTCTGACTCCCAGAGAGGATTTGCCCAAGCTAGTGCTTTATCAGACAGCAAAGAAATCATGAACCTGACTTTGCTTCTGTCTGTAGGAAATGCCTGGGGAACCATTTTAAGGTTTAAAAATTCTCTGCATGGCGCCTGATTGACCCCAAAATACTGAGGGAGTGGGACAGACCCAGTCATCTCTTTTGGCCGCAACAGGTTTGGATGTTACAACCAATGCTAATACAGGAAGTGAGGCAGAGGCGGCCGTAATCGCAGACTGGCTGGGTGCTGAATCCAGATGTGCAGTACGAATCAGTAGGGTCTGCAGTGCATGCGCACATTGGTCTAAACATTGGTCCTGCTGGTCCCACCAAATAAATAGGTGAGGTATAGGTGGATTGCCTGTACCATTTGTATTCATGGCCCTTGCATAATGTTAGGGACCAGGAACCAGAGAGAGTCAGAATGTAGATGTAAAACACCTTTATTAATAAATAGCAAAAATGAAATAAACCAAAGTCCAGGAGGCAAGCAGGGATCAGGCACTAAAGCGGGTAGTCAAACGAGCCGGAAGAGGAGAGCAGGGAGTCAGGAACAAAGTCAGGAACCAGGAATTCAAATGAAACAGTAAGTCTTCTGGGAAACAGGAAACCATGCAAGGGCAAGGAGGTACTGGGCCTTGCTGTTTAAATATGCTGCACTGATTAGCAGCAGGGCTGGTTACTAACAATCAGATGAGTAACCATGACAACATGAATGAAGGAGCTGATCGTTACAATCCGCTGAATAGCTCAGACACAGGGAAAGGAAGGGTTGCTGTTTAAAACAGGAAAGAAACCCTGACAGTGTGAGTGTGAGTGTGTCTATATATGCTGTATCTAGGCCTTCATGCATATCCTGTAACTCTTGGATGGTAATTCATGCATTCATAATATAAGTAATTATTTTGTTTTTACTCTCCCTTTCTAGCACAATCTTCTGCACTGTTTGCTTGTGTTTTTTTTTCTCTCTCCCATCACTCTGTGATCTCCACACAAGATATTGATGACCTTTTGCGAGAATGGTGTGTATTTTCTATCAAACCTGAGTCTTATCTGCACTTATGTCACTTTAACCTCTGTATCACGACTCCACTTTGAATTCTATATATTGCCTTTGCTCAGAAATGCTTTAGACTTGAGAAAGGGAGGTTCTCCTAAAAGCTTGTCATTAAAAAAATTCTGTTAGTCCAATAAAAAAGGTATTACAAGATACGAATAGTATCTGTATTTTACAGATAGACAACAACTTAAATAAGTACAAAAATACCCAAAGGGAAGACTCTTTAACTGATATGTACAGAGTAGCCACAGGCTACCAAACAAGAGAGGGTACATTTAAGCCCAGCAAGATCGATGGTACCTGGGGAATAGCATGATAACTCTCTTTATTATTTTGTTTACTTCAGGAACACTTATAAACAATCACATGTTATAACTATGAACAATATGCAAAAATGGAAAGGGTGCCCCACTGAAGCATGTTAAAAGTTAAGTCCATGAGAAATGACAATAATGCAACCTGCCAATACAGAGGAAGAGCCATTTGGTAACTACTTAAGCACCCCACAAGATGAAAAAAAATAATATTTAGTAAAATAATAATTGGACTCTACAGGATCATTATTTGGCTTTAGTCCAAACCAAATAATGCAACCTTAATGAAGGAGAGATACTTAACGTATTGATGAACTATTTT